AAAAAATATTATCTGCACCAGGATTGCCTACAACTCTCTGAATTGGATGGCATAGATCTTTAATATGTACATTGATATTATTATAAAGTAATTAAAAATATAACAATGGGAAAAATTGGCATACTGAATCAAAAATGATCTAAAATATTCTGTATTTTTGCTTCTCATCATATAATGAGTTAGATATACAGCACAAACAATATCCAGTTATAACCTTGAAAATAAACATTATATTGAGCTATCTTTGACTTTTGTTTTCCTTTGAACATTCAGATACATGTGAGAAAAAATAAAAAAAGAAATACAGATGACAAGTATAAATTTCACATTTCTGCTTATGAAATGGAGGTCCCATGTCACTTTAAAATATAATACTGGTACAATATTTATTCTTTATGGTGCATGTACATATATAAATAAACTTTGCAGTTTAAATTGAATTAAAAATGTGGAAAAAATTACATAAAAGGCTATTTGATTTGTGCTTATTATACACAGGCTAATAACATCTTCAACTTGTAATGCAAAATGATGCATTTTACATATTCACAAACACAAAATATGGTGAAAAATCTATTAGAAGAAATGCGGGGATGCACTTTGCAAAATGCATGAGATCATGTACGAGTCCAGCTTCACCCCGTGAGCCTGTCTGTGCTTGATTTAGTTTAGACTATGTTTTTATGTCTGTGGTAAATGTTAGTGTGTTTGCATATGTGTCCAGCTTCAAACATTTTCATGTATGTGCTCGACTTCACACGCCTTGGAAAATATGTAATAGGTTGTGGTAGATGCTTGTGTGTTTGCATATGTGTCCAGCTTCACACATTTTCATGTATGTGCTCGACTTCACACGCCTTGGAAAATATGTAATAGGTTGTGGTAGATGCTTGTGTGTTTGCATATGTGTCCAGCTTCACACATTTTCATGTATGTGCTCGACTTCACACGCCTTGGAAAATATGTAATAGGTTGTGGAAGATGCTTGTGTGTTTGCATATGTGTCCAGCTTCAAACATTTTCATGTGTGTGCTCGACTTCACACGCCTTGAAAAATATGTAATAGGTTGTGGCAGATGCATGTGTATTTGTGTATGTGTCCAGCTTCACACATTTTCATGTATGTGCTCGACTTCACACACCTTGGAAAATATGTAATAGGTTATGGTAGATGCATGTTTGCATATGTATCCAGCTTCACGTATTTTCAGGTGTTTGCTCGATTTACACGTCATAAATGTAAAATATGTAACCAAGATGGTGTAAAACGTTTACAAGTGTATGATGCACAAAGAGAAAAAAAGTTCTGTGTGTTTTGTTCTGCAAATAAATAAATTACAATTATGTCCTGTTGAGAAACTGACTATCAAAATAAGTAACATATTCATTTTACATTACTGTACTGAAATCACACACCCAGTTTAAATTACTGTACTGAAAATTGAATTTGTGCAAAGAATCTGAATGAATAACATTTAAAACCATGAATGCTTGCATGTTCATCTATAAATCTCCAAGATGTTTTGTAACACAATTGGACCATACCGTACATACAAATAAATTACATATTAACTTTTTAATATATGTTGTGTTTCTTATATTTGATTAATAAGGACATATGTGTATAAGGCATAATAATCCTTATATGTCCTTGAGAGCCATTTAGGTTCTTACGCACTTTATTTCTATTTACTAATTATGTGTTGAATGTAGTCAATATTGTTGTAAATATTAATGTGAATTATTAATGGTCAGTGTTGATGAATTATCACAATTAGGTCAAAGATCAATATCTGAGCATTTACGTGGTCAGTATCTATTATTGGTATCTAAATAATTAAATGTATTGGAAAATGACTTGATAAAATTAATTGACCCCATTCAGAATTGTAATTGAACACTTGATTAAATCTGCAAGTGAAGATATATATTCGGAGACTGGACGGGCGGAGAGAGATCTAGAGAGAGAACAAGAACTTTATACAAACGTTTCAGACGTACCACTATACGAACTTTGTGCCCCCCTGTACTAGTTACTAGTTTGGCTTCCAGTGGATATTCAAAATACTAACTCTGATAATATTTTAACTGTACCAGTGCTGACAACATTGTTCTAACTTTATATGCATGAACGTCTATATATTGTGCAACAGTGACTTAATAAATATATTTATAACCGTATCCAAAGTTGTTGTGTTATAGACGTTCATTTGGTGCCGTGACCAGGACTTAGATTCGAACGGGTGACCACTGGTTGGAATACTGTAGAAAAATTTAATGCTTGTGACCAGGAATATCGAAATTCTCCATGATCATTTTAATGTCAATAACCAAGGCCATGCGAAGTATAACTAAAATGTCGGACGCGGAGGGAAAATGTGGCAAGGTAGGGCGTAACTTTCTGACCCAGAAGTATCTGTAGCCTGACCAAGTTTCTATATTTTTGAAAAAGAATAATTTAAAAATAATAGGTTTGGCTTATTGTTTTGGATTCTCTAAATAGATAATTCTGACTTATAAAACAAATGATTTTAAAAATGAAGAAAGATTTGAAATTTTGTGCAAAGAAATTCTTTCATCATTCAGTGCACATTAAATTCTTTGCTCTAAATAATGTATAAGACTGATTCAAAAAATTGAGATAAAAAAATTTCATCATTATCTTGAAAATGAATTTCTAAACACAAGGAATGCATTTAATTCTATTGTACATATGTAGTGATGATAGTTTGCTTCTAATCAATGTTGTTTAAAAAAAAGAGAGAGAAAATATTAAGCAATATCTTATAATGAACAGGCAAGAGAAAATGGTAATGAAGTTCACGTCAGATTTATTGTCACATTTTTTAAATTTTGAATTTTGACTAACTAGATGTATTTTGAAGAATTATTATACAAATTTTGACAAAAATGCAACACTAAATCAAACATACATTTGGGTTCATCGTGGACTAAATTTGAGGCATATGACGTTGGTCTGATACCAAAGACGATGAATAACGTCTGACCCAGTGTTGATGGGCCGTCATAAGTGTTTGTACTAATTCTGACTTCAATTCGCTGCGAGGATGCAATTGTAAAAGGATAGTACCGTGTTTATGTTTTAAAAGAATATTGACTGTGAGTATCACAATTAGTGGAAATGAGGAACACAACAGGTGATAGCAGTCCTTTGAAGATACTTACAGATGAAGAAAACGTTGGACACTAATAATATTTACTGATTTGTGTTGTACTTTTGAACAAATTTACCAAAACTGAATACATGTAAATCAATTACAAATTCTGACGTTGGAGAACAAAAACTCTATTAATTCGGACTTAGCTATTGGACTCAAATTTAAACTCAAAGGTATGGGATCCGGATACACTGGTGACTTCTTATTTGAAGGGCGATACTACCGCCTGGAGTGGTGGTAATTGCACTCCGTCATCTATTAATCCTTTATCTCAAACTGGGAGTTGGCAAAATTGGGTTTATTCTATTTTAATAATCAGCATCGCTTTAATCCTGGGGATTATGGTCCTTATCTATTATAAATGTAAAAGGCGTTGGTCAAGTTGATTTTGGCAAAAGGTTAAGAAAGCAGGCGGAGAGAAGGAACAAATTGAAATTGGTGGCGATTAAATCCCCTAGTGAAGATAACACTAGCAGACACAGTATTGCATCTGCACCATCACCAACTACTGCTTTCATCGCTGGAGTTGACCCTGTCAACACCATTACGAAACTGTATCCAAAACTAAGGACGGATGTATTAACACCGAACACCGATGATCCCGCTGCATTGTAAATAAACACTTATGTAAGTCGATCCCTCTTTCGAATAAGAGCCGAGGATCGTGAATATTGGACAGTCTGTTGATTTCGAGACAAATGTTTAATAAAACATACAATTTCTGTGTTGTTCGTATTCCAGTTGGAGGAAGACTTTATTGTCTCGTGAACTGTGTGTTGTAATAATTTAACCAATCCTTATCTGACTTTTCGTTTAACATGATGTACCTTACAGACGAGGGAGAATTACATTATGCCTATACTTACAAACCAAATAAGCATAAATTACCATGGAAAAATCCACAAGTACAAATTCCATCGACTATGAATTAAACTAATTCATCTCTTGTGAGGGAGGAATGTAACACAATTGGACCATACCGTACATATAAATAAATTACATATTAACTTTTTAATATATGTTGTGTTTCTTATATTTGATTAATAAGGACATATGTGTATAAGGCATAATAATCCTTATATGTCCTTGAGAGCCATTTAGGTTCTTACGCACTTTATTTCTATTTACTAATTATGTGTTGAATGTAGTCAATATTGTTGTAAATATTAATGTGAATTATTAATGGTCAGTGTTGATGAATTATCACAATTAGGTCAAAGATCAATATCTGAGCATTTACGTGGTCAGTATCTATTACTGGTATCTAAATAATTAAATGTATTGGAAAATGACTTGATAAAATTAATTGACCCCATTCAGAATTGTAATTGAACACTTGATTAAATCTGCAAGTGAAGATATATATTCGGAGACTGGACGGGCGGAGAACAGATCTAGAGAGAGAACAAGAAATTAAGACAAACGTTTCAGAGGTACCACTATACGAACTTTGTGCCCCCCTGTACTAGTTACTAGTTTGGCTTCCAAATACTAACTCTGATAATATTTTAACTGTACCAGTGCTGACAACATTGTTCTAACTTTATATGCATGAACGTCTATATATTGTGCAACAGTGACTTAATAAATATATTTATAACCGTATCCAAAGTTGTTGTGTTATAGTTTTCTAGTTAGTTTGTAGTGCCGCATCGGGCGGTCTTATAACACATTTCATAATGTCAGTTTGCATGAATAAATCAATTTATCCTTGTACCTCATATCTTGAAAATAGATGCCGAAATTCTAGTCTACAGTTTATTTTCACAGCACAACACAAATGGAAACATTCAGGAAAAATAATTCACTAAAAATAAAATCCAAGTTAAATAATCACATGTACATATAAATTCAAGAAATATTAGGTAATATTCCAAGTAAGTAAGTAACTTTATCTATTTCTAACAGTTCTATCTACTAAGTCTTCTATATTTCCATCTTCCTATCTTATTCTAAAATTCTGCCGCACTATATATATATATACTCAAGATCCGCTCCTGACGAGCACATTATAAGATCCTAAAGATCAGGAATCGATACACAGGTCATTACAATCAGCAGGGGGTTATATGTAAGAGGGGGCGATTAATATACAGATAAGATGATAATGTGTGAACAATTAAGTATTGAAGAGTTATATTACAGATAAGATATTCTAAATCGCTACAAGTTTACAAATTCTTGATCATATCATTGATAACAGTACATTTTCTTGATCATGACATCTGTATTGGATTCCCCTCTCTGACATCTTTTCTTGTTCACCAATTAGTTTAACAGTCATCTGGGTACTCAGGTGATGTACAAGTCCTAATAATAACAATTTTCAAAATTATAAAGAAAACAATATAATTTTTAAATAGGTTTTCATTACTACTATTGAAATTAAAGCACAAGCTTTTGAAGACATACTTAAGTAACTTAAAACATCTATAACTAAACATTATGGAAATTTAGACAAAGCGACTCAATGTCAAACAAATGATAGTGATACATCTGTAATATCCATGAAACTTACTGAGATACTTAAAATGTTTATGGTGTGCTTTCACTAAGCTTAGCAGTATATAAACATCTCTTGATTAAATGTTGAAGTCCAATCCTCACCTGACTTGCACATTCATATGGAATGGTTCTATGTTGATAATCTCTTTCAACAATCTTCATCACAACATCTGAAAGTCATCCATCTTCAAAATTAAATCTGACGCTCACCTTTCAAGTGTATATAGACTCCCTGTGCAAATGCATGGAAAATAAGATTTTGAATAAAAAATGAATTATCTCTTCACCATACCTGGCCTCTTTAAAAAATGTGATGAAATATTTTAAATACTTTTCTTTAGATAAAATCATGTAGTGAGTATCCAACAATGTTGAAAAAAAAGTTATCTCTAGAATTTTACATTTATATTGAATGAAAAATGCATTGTTCCCTCTACTTAAAAAAATCAAAAGACATTACCTAAAATGGAAATAAGGTACAACTGTGACTTGTGTCTCAGGCACAACCAATAAACACAAGACCTTTCCATCCTTAGCAGCATGCATTAGCTCCACATTCTTTGCTTCTACAAAAATATACAATGAAATTTTTTTAAAAAATGAGAGCGAAGCTTTATATTGAATGAAAAATGCATTGTTCACTCTACTTAAAAAAACTCAAAAGACATTACCTAAAATGGAAATAAGGTACAACTGTGACTGGTGTCTCAGGAACAACCAATAAACACAAGACCTTTCAATCCTTAGCAGCATGCATTAGCTCCGCATTCCTTGCTTCTACAAAAAATATACAATGAAAATTAAAAAAAAAATGAGAGCGAAGATTGTTACATGTACTTGGGAGAACAGGGAAGGAATTTTGAAGTCAGATTATTATTAATTATATTTCTGCCAGTGTTGGCAGGGGCGTAGTATCCGAGGGGCCAGCCCCCCCCCCTTTTTTTCCAAACCTAACTTTCAATTTAGGAAATTTTAATTTTATAAATGTACCGAAAATGTTGTATATGATTTGGTACTATAAAAGTATTTGTCACTGAGAAAAAGTTTACCTACCCCCCCCCCCCCCCGCCCACCACCACCACCACCATGAAATAGGATTTTCGACTTTGGGCAACTTTAACCTTTTTTTTTTGGCTTGTCAACTTTAAAAGAATTTTTCTATGCCACTGGTTGGGACGGATAAATTTCCATAATAAATTGAAACGAATTATGCGCAACAAATAAGACACATGTATTACCTTGCAGTCACCGGCCCACATAATGTATACAACTGACATCATCCCAAATCCCTTTCTTTGTTGTTTACTTGGCGGAATTTTCTTTGCCTTCTAGACTTGTTCCCTACTCTGGTTCCCATACATTGCCGTGAATAAGTCCTACGTTTACTGGTTTTGTTCACAAGCTTCAACATCAATAAAATCTCCAGCACATTTACAGCCTGTATTGTAAACTACACTGAAAACATACTTTACACACAATTTTCAGCTCAGTATTATGTTATCCTCTTCATTCAAGTAATATGTAAACTCTTCTCGAATGTAAAACGAACGATCTACTCTTAACAGTAACCCAAATATGGCACTGTGTATTCGGTTGAATAGCCAATCATTTCAAATCAAGTTGAGCGGGTCTGCATCGTTATTTTGACGAAGTTTGAAACCAGTGGTAATTTTTTGGCACTTCATCTAGATTTGAGAAGATTCTTGCCTTGACAACTGCTCGAACTCCCGGGTTGGCATGCTCTGAAGGTTTGTTTACGATTTCCAGCCGTTTTCACTTTCACTTTCAGACCAGTACACATTGTGCATGTTGTGAAAGAATGAAACTAATCAAAGTCACGGTAAACGACGCTTTGTATGTTTTTTTTCTGCTAGGATATTAGATAAGTACTTTTGATAATTTGGTGATTAAATGTTTATGTGCGTCACTTTATCCTGTAAAGGTGTATGAATCATAGGGGCTTATCTTCCGGATTGATAAATGTAAAATAATTTTAAAAATTTGTATCTACATTAACCATGTTAACTACACTCTAAAAGTTGCTTTAATAAAGATTCTGATCAGGCAAGAAAAATAATGTTTAAAGAAAAGTACTACACCTATATACATAAACTCTCAACTTTGAGAGTTTATTTATTTTTATTTATATCATTTTGTATTTTAAACTGTGTCCATTTGCTTAAAACACAGGTATAGTGAATTCAGTATGCAGATTGTTGAAGGGAAAACATCAAGACGGGGCGAGGAAGACAACAAAACATGATTACCCAGATTGAGGATCCCAGTGTTCTTTGGTACAAGCACATTTTAATAATAAATTTCATGAAATCTGTTACTTGAACAAACATTTACATTATTTAGTGCTTGACTTGCTCGGGAGTCAATATCGTCATATTTTTGTAAAAAAAAAATGTTTAATTTCCTTTGTATAGTCTGAAGCTACTCAGCCTACCATGAGAAAATTAAACGATCTGTCATAAAGAAGAGGCGGGTTCTCAACTTTCATATTATAAATGGCAAGTATGTTTAGAACTAAATTTAGATCATTCTTGATAAAAAATAACATAAGGGTGTTTGTCAATTCATAGCTATTATTTGTGATTGCACTGTGTATTAATTTTCAAAATCAATTCATTCTCTGGTGACCAAGTGCAGCAGTTTGCTTCAAACTCATATTTAAAAAAAAAAATATTGACTATATTTGTCCATATGTACAAAATGTTAATCACGGTATGAATTCTATTTCAGCATGATTGTCATCTTCAATTTGAGGGACTCTCACCTAAAGTCCTTTTACTGTTCCATATCAGGAAAAAGTTCATGAGCTGAAACATGCGATTGGGGAAAAAGGTACATATATCCTAAACCATAACTTCAGTATCATTCTGTATACGTGTACAGCTAAACTAAATACCGTATAAGTGGAAATGTTAGCGACACGCAAATTTTACGATTTGTCCTTTAAAACTGGTAATTCATTTTTAGCAGGATGCTATTTTAGCAACTTTAAAATGCACATTTAAGAAACTAATACAAATAAAGTGCAATTAATTTTTAGCGATATTTAATTTTAGCGATCTCAACACCCTCGCTAATAATGCCAAAATTAAATCCTCGCTAAAAATTCTACTTATACGGTATGTAGCACTATATTGTTCTTTTTGTAAACTGACAAATGAGACGTTAGGAAACCTATGATTTCTCAATATTTCAGGGATTTATTCTTTGTTTTTGTGTAGTACCCTTAAAAAATACATATTTCTCAAATTGTAATTTATAGGCTTCTTGTGATAAGAGATACATGACCTAACCCATTGATTCTTCATATAATATGTCAATAACAAGAGTTCCACTCATCTTATTAAATTAATAAATTTACATTTTTAGCTCACCTGAGCCGAAGGCTCAAGTGAGCTTTTCTGATCACATTTTGTCCGGCGTCCGTCTGTCCGTCTGTCTGTAAACTTTTCACATTTTCGACTTCTTCTCAAGAACCAGTGGGCCAATTTCAACCAAACTTGCCACAAAGTATCCTTGGGTGAAGGGGATTCAAGTTTGTTCAAAGGAAGGGCCACTCCCTCATTCAAGGGGAGATAATTGGGAATTTATGAAAATTTGGTGGCATATTTTAAAAATCTTCTTCTCAAGAACCATTGGGACAGCAAAGATGAAACTCGTGTGGAATCATCCTCAGGTAGTGTAGATTCAAGTTTGTTCAAGTCATGACCCCGGGGGTAGGGCGGGGCCAAAATGGCCGACCAAAGTTTTACATAGAAATATATAGGAAAATTCTTTAAAAATCTTCTTCTTAAGAATGACAAAGCCATAATTCATCATATTTATATGGGAGCATGCTCAGGTAGTGTAGATTCAAGTTTGTTCAAATCATGACCCCCGGGGGTAGGGCGGGGCCAAAATGGCCGACCAAAGTTTTACATAGAAATATATAGGAAAATTCTCTAGAAATCTACTTCTCAAGAATAGCAAAGCCATAATTGATCATATTTATATGGAAGCATCCTCAGGTAGTGTAGATTCAAGTTTATTCAAATCATGACCCCCGGGGGTAGGGCGGGGTCACGATGGCCGACCAAAGTTTTACATAGAAATATATAGGAAAATTCTTTAAATATCTTCTTCTCAAGAATAACAAAGCCATAATTGATCATATTTATATGGAAGCATCCTCAGGTAATGTAGATTCAAATTTATTCAAATCATGACCCCCAGGGGTAGGGCAGGGCCAAAATGGCCATCCAAAGTTTTACATAGAAATGTATAGGAAAATTCTTTAGTAATCTTCTTCTCAAGAATAGCATAGCCAAATTGATCATATTTTTATGGAAGCATCCTCAGGTAGTGTAGATTCAAGTTTATTTAAATCATGACCCCCAGGGGTAGGGCGGGGCCAAAATGGCCGACCAAAATTTTACATAGAAATGTATAGGAAAATTCTTTAAAAATCTTCTTCTCAAGAATGACCAAGCCATAATTCATCATATTTTTATGGAAGCATCCTCAGGTAGTGTAGATTCAAATTTGTTCAAATCATGACTTCCGGGGGTAAGACGGGGCCAAAATGGCCGACCAAATTTTTACATAGAAATATATAGGAAAATTCTTTAAAAATCTTCTTCTCAAGAATAGCAAAGCCATGATTGGTCTTTGGACTTCTTTTGGATTTAAGCTTTTCAAGTATAAACCAATTCTGCTTTTTCCTAGCCACAGTGCTCAGGTGAGCGATGTGGCCCATGGGCCTCTTGTTTTGCTTTTGAGGTTAAAGGTCATGTATGAACTGTTTATTTATTAGTAAGGTTGTGCCTTGTTTTTATTTTTATTAATCATGGTATTGTGAATTCTGATAACACAGACGCTGTTGAAAATATTCATACTTATGCATGGCACTGAAAAAAATCCTTTTTTTTCTTTTAGGAAAAGCATTAGGAAAATGCCTGCATGGGGAGAAAAGTTTTGAACTCTGAAAAGGGAGGTGTGACAAAAACATTTTGACAGTTGTTCAGTACCCTTAAAAAATACATATTTCTCAAATTGTAATTTATAGGCTTCTTGTGATAAGAGATACATGACCTAACCCATTGATTCTTCATATACAGGTAACTCTCGATACCTCGAAGTCCGCGGGACCGAGGAAAAACTTCGAGAGATCAAGAGTTCGAGATTTCAAGAGTCCGGATTTTTCCGGGTTTGTTTGACAGGTTTTAAAATTAGTCATACCGGATGTAATGATTTTCATGCAGTCCTTACAAAACAACGATATGTTTTAGTATTTTAGATGAATATCTATAAAACTGAATAAAGCAAAAAATGTACTTCGTAAGTTCGTGTTTATTTTTTTTATCATACGGATATCATTGTACGCATTCGTTATATGAAAACGGCATTTTACCAGCGTGGCATGGTACACGGCATTGTGACTTTTCCAAACATGTGCACTGAACGAAATTCTGTATGTATTTGTCCAAGAAAAGTAGTCATATTGACAGCGAGGCTGTTTCTGAATTTGCATATATCGTTAAACTTTGAAACTGATTCGAAATAGAAATTTAATTCATTAAGTGTTTCGTCTTGCAATCTGCAATTTCAATTTCTCAGTGATACTACGTTTCTGAATTATCGTAATACAGACGATGATAAGTATTTTGATAGCATATAGGCACCATAAGATTAATTATAAATCAATTATGACCTTGCAGAATAAGTGTCACCTGAATAAACATCCCGTTTCACGAGACCTGCGTCTTCTGCCTGGGGTCATTAAATGTCCAGGCAGTGGCGTAGCATCGTTTTTGAAAGTGGGGGGCCAGGCAGAGAAAAACTTTTTTTACTTACCTGAAAAAGTTGATAAGCAAAAAAAAAAAAAAAGTGTAAAACTTGCCCAAAGTCGAAAATCCTATTTCATTTCGGGGGGTGGGGGGGGGGGGGGTAGGTAAACTTTTTCCCAGTGTCAACTACTTTTAGTACCAATTCTTATACTACATTTTCGGTACATTTCTAAAAGTGGAGGGGCCAACCAGGCTTTCAATTAACATTTCCTATAGTGTAAGTAATGTTGGGAAAAAAGTGGGGGGGGGGGCAGGCCCCCCTGGCCCCCCCCCCGATACTACGCCCCTGCCAGGTAAAGTTGCTAATTATGTAACGTTGTATACACATAGCCACTTCGAAGTATCAAGGGTAAATTTCAATAGAATATGCACAGCGGGACTGCAATTTTACTTCGAGGGATCAAGGGTTTCGAGAGATCAAGAGTTCGAGAAATCAAGGGTAAATTTGCTTAGTTATATAGGGAAAAAATTCTGGACCGGAGACTCACTTCGAGCGATCGAGAACTTCGAGAGATCGAAGTTCGAGCCATCAAGAGTTACCTGTAATATGTCAATAACAAGAGTTCCACTCATCTTATTAAATTAATAAATTTACATTTTTTTGCTTTTGAGGTTAAAGGTCATGTAGGAACTGTTTATTTATTAGTAAGGTTGTGCCTTGTTTTTATTTTTATTAATCATGGTATTGTGAATTCTGATAACACAGACGCTGTTGAAAATATTCATACTTATGAAAAAAATCCTTTTTTTTTCTTTTAGGAAAAGCATTAGGAAAATGCCTGCATGGGGAGAAAAGTTTTGAACTCTGAAAAGGGAGATGTGACAAAAACATTTTGACAGTTGTTGATTTCCACTAAAACCAATATCCACAAGAAAGAGGACATAGTTTTATGTCGATTCACAACTTTAAATTCAAGAATGTACAGTTGGTTATATTATAAAACATGTCACATACAAAAAAACATATTTGTAAAATGTACTCTGTCTTTGATATGTATGTAATTTGCAGGATAGGAGGTCGGCAACATATACTGCCAAGAATCTTGAAGCTTTTGATCTTATGTTTGTACAAAATAATGTTTTGTATTGTAAAAAACAAAGTTAAAGTCAGCTTTTTCTTAATGTGTATATTAATTATGATGTTTACATTTCTGCAACTTATCAATTTGGAAGAAAAAACTTATTCATAATTTGAATAAGGCTTCATTCACTGGAATGGAAAACAGAAATTATTAACTTTTGTGGTTATTAAAGATGGTATTTAATTCAATTTAAGGTTTGTAATTATCAGATTGTGGTTATTAAAGATGGTATTTAATTAAATTTAAGGTCTGTAACTATCAGATTTAATATATCCTAAATACTGTGTTTAACTTTACTTTTTGGTAAAGTCAAGACAATGTGGGACATTACATCATATTTAAGTGCATGTAAAGTTAATGTAAAGGTTACCTTTTCCAACTTTGACTTTTTTCAGAAAAGCCAATTAAAGGCATTGTAAATAATAAATTCTTTACATTATCTTTACTTGTTTTGTAAAGCCAAATTTTCACGCAGTGTATCTATCACCCAGGCGCGCCTCGGTTCTGTCAATGCCCTGGTGGACAGCTGCCGGGACATCATGGTACAGGCGCAGCACCTCTTTCCTCAACTCCTCAGGGATGACTAATAGTCTATTCTTCACATTCCACTCCCACACCTCCTTCCAAAGGACCTTGTCCTGATCTAAGGTGGAGGCTGTCCTAATAAGCCAATAGTTCTAGCAAGAAAAATTTGGAGCTGAAATTGGGACCACAAAATACTGCGAATAAAATATGCTTGTTGTGCTTATTTCTTCTTCAGATCCATCGAACTTGTACTGTCTCTAAAAAACTGTCCCCTTTTGTAGTGTTCGATGTGAGGCTCTCACTGCAGTTTCATTGAACGTGTAAGTTACAAGTATTTGTCAAAACATTTATTTACTCATTCGGTCATATTTAAGGTCTTCCGTCTTCAGCGGAAGACCTTTCTGTTATTCTTAGGTTTCTTTTCCACAGTTTTTATTATTTTTTTTCTTACATATTTTGTGCACGCGAGTTCTCGAAAACGCCTTGATCGATTTTCATGAAACTTTCAGGAATGATAGAACATCAAAAAATCTAGATACAAATTTTTTTGTTTTGATGACGTCACTTCCGGTTCGGAGATATCTGCGATTTTGTCATTTTTAGAGGGTCACTTTGTCCGGCAATGTTCTCAAAAACCATTGAAGATAGAAGTGTGAATTTTTGAGGGATGCTAGAGCAAACTTTGGAGAAGTGCCTTTTGTATATCACAACTACCGGAAGTACGAAGCGCCGACGCTCGCTATGGCCCGAAAATAGACCTATCGCGAATTTCAAAATTTTTAACATCTTTTCTACGATAGCTTTTTACCTGGAAATATTTTGTTAAAACATATAGAACAAAAGAAGTGTAGAATTCCAAGATCTTTCAAATGATATCTTGTTAAAAGGGCTGGCCCCTAAAATTAAGGGCCTAGAGGGGCTGAAAGTTTTTTCTTTATATCTCAAAACGTATCGAGAATTTGTAATACATCAAAGAAGCAAAGTTGTCCAAAATGTTAAGCTTAATCTTTTGGCGTCTTCAAAATACGTCCGGCGTCGTCACTTCCGGCAAAACCGGAAGTGGTCGGAAAACGCGTATTTTTGCCGAGTTTGGGAAGTTTTTGGGTACCATATGTCTCTGGGAGCATAAAAATTAATTTTCCGTCCGTCGTCGTCACTTCCGGTCAAACCGGAAGTAGCAAAAATGGCTTATTTTTGCATTAATTAACATAGTTTTAGATGATTCAACCCATTTTTTGGCGTTATTTCTCATTTTTGTGAAAAATGAAAGCTACTTCCGGTCGAACAGGACGGAAGACCTACTCGTTGCTTTGCAACGAGCTTTGCTCTAGTTTTATTTATTCTTTTTATTATCATCTTAAGGCACCTCACTATTAGCACGCTTCTGGTGTGTTTTGTTTAGTTCCCTTTGAAAGGACATTGTTTTGGCAGGAGATTTTTTCTTCGCAATTTATACAAAAAAGAATAAACTACATACCATCCCCCAGCAAAATTCACTTAAAAGACATACTTCTCTTTTAGATTCACGCAAAATATCTTCAATTTATCCTTGTCTTTTACTTGTGCCAGTCCAAAATAAACACGATTCATAAATTCTATTTCTGTCTACGGAATTGTAAGGGGAGCGTTTCAAACATAATTTTTTGCTATTGCTTGAATATATGCATATCGGACAAGCAAAAGGAATAGAGATATTTAAATATCAAATGTTAAACATTATTACAGCACACACAAGGTTATAAAAACAAACCTTACTCTTGAATTAAACACAAATCCCCATAATAAATCTACATGCCGTGTAATAATTATGACACTTTCCCCGTCATGTCAGCTCAAGTATGCAGTGGCTTGACGTCATATTCTATTATGACGTCATATCTAGGTAGTTCAGAGAAGTTAGTACAGTTTGAACAGTTTAATATTTTACGGACAGCCTTATCCTAGCTGCGTAGCGACGTTTGTTTTTTCCGTAGGAAATCTTTTAGCAAATATAATGTTAAATATTCAATGTTAAATATTTTAAACAAGTCATTGTTTGGCTGCCCCTTTCCAAAACGATGCTACGTCACTATATTTAAAATATTTTGAAGAAAGCAATTGGAGCTGTCACCAGATGTTATGTCACATATGCAAAATGCCACTGAATGATCGATGTGGGTATGGGCCCAACCCATTTTACCGACTTCATTGGGCCATGCAATATAACCCCCTCTCTCAGAATCATTCATAAAAAAGTATGACACATGAGTTGTCAAGACCATTACAAATAAGGCTTTAGATTCCTGCAAAGCGACCCACGTTGAAGAAAAGCAGATGACACGCACTGTTCCGCCATACCTGACTTTCTCCATGTGCTAATAAAGTCAGTCAACACTTAGAGATCTAGTGGTTTATTCTGGCTGCGGGTTCTTTACCGTTGGGCAGCACAGCAAAAAGACTTAACCAGTGGACTTGCAAAAATAACAACATTCAGGAACCTTACAGAAAAAGGGTCCGAACACTACAAAAACCAACTTGATGATCGAGCTGCACGCTTAACGGGTGCATGGACAAAGGTTGACTCCATTATTAAATCT